GCAGTGAAAGCTGAAACACTGTGCACTCTGGGCACGGTCACTAGCACGCCCAGCGCGTGTGTCCGCGTGTACTTCCAGAGGTGCACCAGCATTTCCGTGATGACTCTGGTCCGCGTTTGCAGGCGGCGCTGTGATAACAGACAGCCCCAATGACAGGGCTCACCATGTCACTTGTGTCTCCACTGTGCATCTGGGCCCCTGTCCTGGGATCCAGGCCAGAGGAGTAGGTGCTTCTGGAACACACCCCCTCAGGGCAGAGCAGCACAGCGGCGGTCGTGCAGGCTCACCGTGCGCGGTCCTTTGGCTGAGGCTGGTGTCAGGGCAGTGGGCATCCTCCTCCCACGGGGCAGCACCTGCAGGCCAGCGGTGCAGGGACAATGAGGAACCGTGGGCTGATCTGCCATGGACAGACACGCACTTGAGGAGCTGGGGACCGCCTGCCCGAGCCCAGTGTGTCCCCGCGCTGTGCCCTCCTGGCTCTGCTTTGGCTCCTCACCTGTTGCAGTTCCACCCACCTCCGCTGCGGGCAAGCTCTGCTTCCAGTGTCACTCTTCTGGCCCGGCCTCTGCAGCACGGATTTGGAAGAGCTCAGAGAGGGCCCACGCAACTGCAGGTCCACAGGTCTGGGTTGGGCCCAGCTCTGCAGAGCGGAGAAGGAGGGACCTCGGCAACACCACTGACCTCCACCATTCGCGCAGCCCCCGGTCACTTTGTGCCAGGTTCTGGGGAGAACTCTGAGAAGGGACTAGAATGTCAGTGCCAGAGGCAGAGAGGCAGTGTGACTGTGCTTTGGGCCTCAGGCCTGGGGTCAGGGGTCAGATGGGGCAGGACTTGGTGTGACTGTGCCTTGGGCCCAGGTCACTTCCTTTGACCCCCACCCTGAGCTGCTGAGAGCACAGCATCCGCTGGGTAGAGGCTGAGGTCACAGCCTCAGTCTTGTGTGTCCTCAGAAGACCACATGGTGGCAGGTCCTTCCTCCAGGCTAACCAGAGTCCTGCTTGTTGCCCCGCGAGCCCACCTGGCTCAGGTGAGGGTGGGTGTACCCAGCAGGCTGGCCTTCGTGGACTTGACGACCACCATTTCTCCAGGTCAACGCGCCCGGATGGATCCATTCGCTGTCTTCCCCTGGCTGCAGTCACCATTCCGCATCCTGGGCCAACCACAAATGTCACGTCATGGATGTCACACCACATTACACCGTGTCACAGCACATCACGTCATGGATGTCACACCACATTACACCACATCACACCACATCACGGATGTCACACCATGTCACAGCACATCACGTCATGGATGTCACATCACATCACACCACGTCACACCGTGTCACAGCACATCATGTCGTGGATGTCACACCATGTTACACCACGTCACACCACGTCACGGCACATCATGTCGTGGATGTCACATCACATCATACTACATCACACCATGTCATGCCACGTCACACCATGGGTGTCACACCACATTACACCACGTCACACCATGTCACGCCACGTCACACCATGGACCGCTGGCGAGTGCATGGGGCTGCCCACAGTGTAGCCGCGTTGCAGTCCCGTGAGGGGCCTCAGGTCTGGGCTGGTGCTCCTGAGGGGAGCTGGCCGGTGGGAGGGGTAGAGGGGCAGAGGCGGGGCCTGGGCACCGTGGGGAAGGACCCCATTTCCCCAGGGTGCCTGGCCAGGTGCTGGCCGGGGCTGGTGCTGCAGGAACTTCTGCTCCTTCCCAGCTCTGCCTTCACGGTCCCGGGCACGACCTGGCATGGACATCACACCACGTCACTGGCGCTGCGCTGGGCTTCCTTTCCTTGGCCTGGCAGGGCCATCCACCCTCAGGATAGTGGACCAGTGCCCGCCCCACCAGAGCTCCAGAGGCCCTGAGGGCACCTTGAATGTCGGGGTGGAAACCTGCTTATCTGGTAGGGCCACGCAGGGTCCCCACGGGCCGACTGTCCCCTGGACAGAGAGCTCTCCGGCATCCATCCCGCTCTGCTTGGGGTCGGGGTTTGTCAGGCCACATTCTGGCCGGACTTTGTCTGCAGGTGTGTGCAGGGCACAGTGGCGACTGGGCCCCCATCCTTGGGATTGGGATGGGCTGGCTGGTGACACGCCAGCTGCCCGCCCCGCACCGCAGTCGCCTCCCCTCCCCCGGCAGTGCTGCAGCAGCGTGTTCGGAGGAGCTGGAGGCCCAGGTCCCTGGAGCTCACCGTCCGGGGGCCGTTGGCACAAGCCCCATGCACGGCCCTCCCGTGGCACGGCTGAGCCCGGGGTCCGTGTTCGGAGCTGTCCCACCACAGGGATGCCGCTGGAACAAGTCTGGCCGCTCCCCTTCCTGTACGAAATGGTCTCTCTCCCTCCGCAGGAAACGCTGGCGGCATTTCCCAGCCGGGCTCCCGTCAGCCGCCATGGCCATGCTGACCGAGCTCCAGCCGCGCACCCCCCTTTTCTAGGGCTTTTGCTCAAAGGGCCCACCATGGCGAGTCTGTCCTCTGTCCCATCACGACGTCCGTGTCTCCTGCAGCCCGGAGTGTCTCTCCCAGGACCTGAGACCCGTTACCTTCAGATGTCCCCGTCAGGAAGGACGCGGCGTCTGGGTCTGCTGGCTCTGGGAGGACAGAACCCAACTTCAGTGCAGGCCGCCCCAGACGCAGCGGCCCATTGCACGGCCCGGCCAGCCCTGGGTGCTCGCTCAGCTCCCTGACCCCACGGCGCCCGCGCCCTCCTCTGCCTGCCTCTCCCCAAGAGCCCGCGAGCTCTGCACGGAGGGCCGGTGAGCTCAGGCCGTGCCCGACTCTCCCCTGCTGCAATAGTCACTACTGCCTCAAATCTGCCCTTGCTACTTTAGTGTAGCTGCGTTCACCTTCGGAAACACCTCTCTCCACCTCTGCCCCTGCCTCCTGGCTCCCCGCACCCGGCCTCACCCGTACAGATGAAGCTGTTGTTTAGATGAGATTTTGGACTTCGGCGTTGATGCTGGGATGGGATAAGGCTCTGGGGATATTGGGATGGGATGATCATTGTGCACGTGACAAGGATGTGAATTTTGGGGAGCCAGAGGGTGGACTCTTTTGAGCTACACTGCGCTGTCCAGCTTCACGTGCTGAAGTCCCCACCCCGGTTCCGCAGCAGGTGCCTGTGTTTGGAGACGGGGCCTTTTCAGAGGTAATGAGCTAACGCGAGGTCACTAGGGTGCACCCTGATCCGACGGGACTGCGGTCCCCATGGGAAGAGGAGGGCAGGACGCGCAGAGGCAGGACGCAGGGAGACGCCAGGAGGAGGTGCCGTCTGCAAGCCCAGGAGAGAGGCCTTGGGAGGAGCTGGCCCTGGGACGCCGTGGCCCGGGACTGCCAGCCTCCAGGACTGGGAGAAAGAGAGTCTGTTGCCTGAGCTGCCACGCACAGACCCCACACTCTTCTCACTACAGGCCCTGGTGGTCTGGGAGCTCTCCCAGCCCCGGGGCCCTGTGATGCCCAGGGCAGTGACAGGGCTGGCGGGTGCCATGTCTGGCTTGGATTAGGAAGCGTGTCCCCGAAGGCAAGCGGGAGCCCTGATGCCCACGTAGCGACGGTTGGCCAGGGAGGGGCCAGGCGTGCGTGTCACGCAGGGGGTGGGGGGTGGGGGCGGAAGGCTCGGAGCCCCGGGATGTGGGGAGCCTGAGGACTTCCTCGGGCAAGGCCACCGTGGGTGTGGACGCAGGAATGCTGTCCCCAGGCACAGGAGTGTTGAAGGATGTTTTATTGTCAAACAAAGAAACATTAAGGACAGTGAACGCCCTTCAGAAAGTCAACAAGAAGAAAAGCTACAGAAGCTGCGACTGTGGCGTTTCCTTGAGTGATTCCTGCGCGTCCTCCCCGTGGCCGTGGCAGGCAGTGGTGGGCGCCAGGCTCTCCCTGTCTCGGAATCTGCCTGGCGTTTGCCCAGAGACGTGCTGGGAGCAGCTGCAGCTCCCGGCGGCCTCGGGTCTCTCCTCCTGTTGTCTCTCGGTCCTCGGGCTGGACGCCGGCCTCTGGGGTGGGGTCTGGCGGTGTCCAGCCCGTCTCCCGGAGTCCCTCCACCTCTCCCTCGATGCTGTCGGCCTCCTCTGGTGGTGGGACCTGCTGAGGCCCAGACTGCCCGCTTGGGGCCTGGTCACCGTCCCCACCCTTGCACTGCAGGGCTCTGCAGCGGCCGCCGGCCCAGGCCCTTCTCCGCATGGTCTCCTTGGAGTGGAGCCGGCCCTGGGTGGAGGGGGCAGCGTCCTCGGCCCGGCCCTTCTCTCCCCAGCACAGCCACTGCGGTCACCCGCCCAGGGGCTCGGTCACACCTTGGAGAGCCCAGTGGGGTGGGCGGGTAGAGAGGCAGTGTCGGGACACGGAGACCCGCTACACCGGAGGCTCCTTCCCAGGGGCTGAGAAAAGTGTTCTTCGCTTGCAAGGAAAACAAGCCCATTCCTCAGGTCGGAGGTTCACAGAAGTGCCCAGGACGGAGCCTGGCAGGATGCAGGCCGGGAGGAACACCATCCGGGAGACCACTAGCTGCACGTCTAGGAACTTCCCTGCCGGGGACGATGGCCTGGTGGCTTCCTGGCCTTGGTGGCAGATGCTCCCACTCGACCATCTGAGCAAACCCCTGTGCTTGGGAGGCTGGTGTGGACGGATTGTCAGCAAGCCAGGCCCAGCCCCGATGGACACCCGGATGCCGGCCTCTGCCTCCTGGGTGAGCGTGCCCAGCCGACGGGAGGGCCAGGATGCTGGCGAGGGGACACACGGCCCCCCGCAGCGGTGCATGCGTCCAGGCAGCTGAGGTTTGGGGCAGACCTGCCACCCACAAGGCTCTCCGAGGGGAAGGGCAGGGTGGCAGGGCCAGGGGCGGGAGCGGCTAGGGCGGCTGCAAGGCCAGAGAGCCGCAGGGCCAGGGGCGAGAGCTCGGAGGACAGGTGTGGCCTGGGCAGGCTGAGCATGGCACACGGGCTCCCGCGCGGGGTCTGGGCGGCCCTGGACACCCACGCAGAGGGTGGTGCTAGGCCCCCTGCCCAATCATGTTCCTGTAGTCGGGGGCGATCGTCCGCTTCAGGTCCACCACCGAGGAGAAGATCCACTTCACCTGCAGCGACAGCACGGGTGAGCCACAGGCAGCCTGGCCCGAGACCACCCTGTGCCCACCAAGTCTGCACACAGGCCAGGAGGAGAGGGAGGCTGGGCACGGACGGCAGGGCACAGAGTGGGCACATCCTGGGGACAGCACGGGGACGGGATGCAGGCAGTCTGGGGACAGCCTGGTGATAGGGGACAGTTGGGGACAATGTGGGGACAACATGGGGATGGCATGGGGATGGTGTGGGGACAATGTGGGCAGTCTGGACACAGCAGGGAGACAGTCTGGGGACAGCATGGGACGGTCTGGTGACAGCCCGGGGAAAGTGTAAGGACAGTGTAGGGACAGTGAGGGGACAGTCTGGGGATAGTGTGTGACAGTCTGGGAACAGCTTGGGGCCAGTCTGGGGCCAGTCTGGAGACAGTTCATGGACTGCCTGGGTGACAGCGTGGGGACAGCCTGGGGTGGGCTGTGGCCCACCTTGAAGAGGGTGACGGTGGCGCTGTAGCACACGCTGAGCAGGAAGAGGGTGATGAAGATGGCGATGGTTGTCCAGAGCCCGTCCAGCTCCCCGTCCTGGGCCTCGGCACAGCTCTCGTCCGCCTGCAGCTCTGCACAGGGAAGGGGCGGTCAGTGCCGAGTCCCGCCCGGCTCGGGCCTCTGGGGCGAGTGCTCCGGCGGGCGGCGGCGCCGAGGTCGGCCCCCGGCTGCACCAGCGCCAGCTCCGGGCCCTGGCTCTTCCAGCTTGGGCCGGGTGTGCTCAGACCTCAGGCCTGGATGGCGGCCCGGCCTGTGGCAGCCCCGCTCGCACTGTGATCTGTCCCCGGCCCCGCAGGCCAGCGCTGCACCTGGCCCCCCACTGGTGACCAGGCCCGGAGGGTGCAGGGCTGGCAGAGTCCACCCTGGTGACAGGGAAGCGCGGCCCGGGACGCGAGCCAGGGCTGGGTGGTGACGGGCGTGTGCCCCGTGCGTCGGGGTGTGCGGGGGCCTGGGGGGCCCCGTGGCGGGGAGTTTTCTGGGCGGGTCAGCGTGTGGACGTGCTGCTGAGCAGCTCATGGCGCACGGGCCGGGCCAGTGTCCGCGAGTGCGAGTGTGGCTGGGCACCTCGCCTGGTCTGGGCGCTGTGCGGGCGGCCCCGTGAGAGGTCCCATGTGAGGCCCCGGTGTGTCAGGCGTGTGTGTGTGTGTGTGTGTGTGTGTGTGTGTGTGCACGCGCGCGCATGTGTGCGGTGGCCATGTGGGATCGTGCTCAGCTTGTCTGAGCGGGTCTGGTCCAGTGTCCACGTGGGTGTCAGGACAGCCCTTCCCCCAGGGCAGACAGGGCCTCGTGCCTCTGGCCCTTTGGGGCCCAGGAGTGAGTGTGCCCAGGTGTGGGTAGTGTCCCCACAGGTGCTGTGGGGGATGGAGGGAAAGAGGGTCTGACCCTGCACCCAAGGGGCCGAGTGTCTGCTGCGTGGACACGGAGAGGCCCCGTGGACAGGGGCCCTACAGTGGACGGGACTATGTGCTTGTCTCCCTCGGGCCGCTCCTTGGGGCTCCGCCTGCCCAGCCCAGAGCAGCTGCTGGCTGGAGGGAGGGCCTGGAAGAGGGGCCGCCTCTGGCTGAGCCCCCTCCTCGGCCAAGGGCCCGGTGGACGAGCCCCGTGCTGGGCCGCCCGGGCAGACCACACACCCCAGGTCGGGCCTGCGTGGGACCTGCCTTGTCCCTAGTGACGACGGCTCAGGCCTCAGACCCTGGCCTCGCCCTTGGAAAGAACATCACAGTCTCGCGGGGGCCCAGGGCAGCTGGGTGCTTTATTTCCATGCCGGTGCCCGGGAGGTATGTACACGGGGGGTGCGCGTCAAGCATCCTTGCGGGACCCTGAGGGCCCGCGGGGAGCGAGGGGCTTGCCGGGCGCAGCGCTCATTTACCCGGAGACACGGAGAGGGACTTCTGGGTGTAGTGGTTGTGCAGGCCCTCGTGCATCACGGAGCAGGTGTAGGTGGTCCCCCCGTTCCAGGCGCTCTTGGCCACGGTGAGCTTGCTGTAGAGGAAGAAGGACCCGTCCGAGTCCAGCACGGCCGGGGTGGTCTTGTAGTTGCTCTGTGGCTGCCCGTTGCTCTCCCACTCGACCACGATGTCTTCGGGGTAGAAGCCATTGACCATGCAGGTCAAGCTGACCTGGTTCTGGTTCAACTCCTCCCGCGGCGGGGGCATGGTGTACACCTTCGGCTCGCGGACCGGCCCTGTGGGGGCAGAGGTCGGGGCAGAGGTCAGAGGGCTGGCCACGCCGGGCTCCGTGGTGTGACCACGGCAGCCTGCGAGACCCGCCCGCCCTGCCCGCCACGCTCGCCACGCCCGCCACGCCCACCTTTGGCTTTGGAGATGGTTTTCTGGACCGGGGCTGGGAGGGCTTTGTTGTTGACCTTGCACTTGAACTCCTTGCCCTTCAGCCAGTCCTGGTGCAGGATGGGGAGGACACTGACCACGCGGTACGTGCTGTTGTGCTGCTCCTCCCGCGGCTGCGTCTGGGCCGTGCGCACCTCCGCGTTGTCCACGTACCAGGTGAACTGGACATCAGGCTCGTCCTGGCTGACGTCCACCACCACGCACGTGACCTTGGGGGTCAGCGAGATCATGAGGGTGTCCTTGGGCTTCGGGGGGAAGATGAAGACGGACGGGCCCCCCAGGACTTCACAAGCTGGTGAGGCAGAGACAGGGCAGGCGGGTCAGCGCCCAGGCGGGGCCCGTCCTCGGACTTGGGGGCTCCTCCTGGGCCCTGGTTCCCGCTCCTTGGGCTGGGGGCAAGGCCTGGGCCAACTTACGTGGGCAAGATTGCTTGCAGGTGGTGGACGGGGATCCTGCAGAGAGAGAAGATGGGGTTACAAGGGTCTGGAGGGCAGGAGGCGTCCAAGTAAGGGAGGGGAGAGTTTGGCCCTCGGGGTGGGCTGAGGCCAGGGCAGGCCCCTCCCGGATACCAGCGCCCCTCCCTGTGCCCACAGACAGCCAGCCTGTGCCCACCCTGGAGATGCCACAAGGCCCCCTTCCCGAGTGGGGTTCACATGGGGGCTCCCGCTGCCCTGGGCTGGGGCCGCTACCCCTCCCTCGCCGTCCTCTCACCAACGGTCTTGTCCACCTTGGTGCTGCTGGCCGGGTGGGCTACGTTGCAGGTGTAGGTCTGGCTGGGCCAGCTGCTGGCGGGCACGGTCACCATGCTGCTGAGGGAGTAGAGCCCCGAGGACAGCCGGGCGGCCGGGAAGGTGTGCACGCCGCTGGTCAGGGAGCCCGAGTTCCACGTCACCTTCACCGGCTCGGGGAAGTAGTTCTTGACCAGGCAGCCCAGGGCCACCGTGGAGCCGGATGTGCCCTTGTTGCCGGGCACCAGGGGGAAGACTGACGGGGCCGTGGTTTTGGCTGCGAGAGAGAGAGGAGGCGCCGAGTGACTGCGGTGTCTATCAGAGCCAGCCCGGACCCCTGAGGTCCCTCGTGCCCGGCTCTCCCAGGCGGGGCCAGCGACCGGGCTCACGGGCCTCAGCTGCCCACCCGGCGCCTGCCGTGCCTCAATAGCCCCGGATGCGCTTCCAGGACCAGCCGCCCGAGGGCCTGGGACGCAGTCTCGGGGGCTGGACGTGCTCAGGGATCACCTCGAGTCAGCACAGCCTGGGGCTTCGGCCCTTGCCCAGCTCTGCCCGCCTCAGGCACGGCTCCCGTGGGCCCCCAGCCCCTTGTCCCTGTTGCGGCCTCCCTGGGGGCCCTGTTTGACTGGTGGTCCCTGTTCTCCCCGAAGCCCGCTGCAGTCGCTGCCTGTCGAACCAGCCTGGCCCAGAGCCCTGGTCCTGGCCTGCCCTCTGCCCTCCAGGGCCCAGTGCCCTTGGAGTCGGCTCCGTGGCTGGGGCGGCGGCCCCGGGCCCTGGACTCGGTTCCTGTGCCGGAGCAGCCCCCAGCCCCAGCATCTCCGCCTGCGCCCCTCCCTCCCTTCCCTGTGGCCCCAGCTCCCGCCAGCCCAGGCTCTGGAACCTCCGTGTCCCCACGTGGCTGCCTGAGGTCCACCCACCGCCCCTGAACCCCTGCCGGCTCTCCGGCCTCCTTGCCTGGCCTTGTGGGCCGCCTGTCCAGGCACCCTCTCTCCACACCCTCCCTCAGGGCAGGTCCCTGCTGAGCTCGGCACAGCCCCCACCCCCAGCATGGGCAGAGCCTGGCACCTGCCCTCGGCCCTGCCCTCCCTGCCCGGTGCCAGCACCCCAAGCCCGGGGAGACCCTATTCTCTCTCTGGTGCTGGCCCAGCCGCCCTGGGCCCTCGGTGCAGGTGGGTGCACCCGCACCCCAGGAAACCGAGGACCCCACCAGGCCGTCCCCTCCCTCCCTGCACCTCAGGCTCTGGCAACCCCTGCTCAGGCCCCAAGCAGGAGCCCCTGTGCCCTCACTCCTGGGACCCCACCCTGTGCCACCCCCACTCTGTGCTGGCATGCTGCCCTCCTGTCCCACGTCCCCTCACCCAGGAGCAGAGCAGATGCCCCTGGCCCAAGAATGCAGCCTGTCTTCTTCCTTTGGGAGTCCCAGCCCCAGGGAGCGTGCTGCCCACGGCTTCACCTGTTCCCTGCGGCTGCACCTGTTCCCTGCGGGGCCAGGCCCGGTCCTGCCTGGCAGCCCCCCGGGTCCCCAGTCCCTCCTTGTCCATAAGCAACAGCTGACACTCACTTACCGTCCCTCTGCCCTGGTCCCGTGAGCTCCCAGGGGCTGCCCCTGCTCCTCCTGCCTCACACCTCCTCTGTTCAACTGGGAGTGCTCTGTTCTGGTCCCCTGAGCTCCGGGGAGCTGCCCCTGCTCCTCCTACCTCCCACCTGCTCTGCTCAATGGGA